TCATGGGAAGCCCTAGGCTGTCCAGCTCTCCAACAAACCAATAATTCAGCCTATAACGCTCCGGGAAAACGAATGATTATTGCTGGGATAATCAAATGTGTATGCAAATTTTGTGACACGATATTTACCTCCACGGCTTATGTTGCCAGTGACTTTTTACGTAATTTAGTAGGTATTCAGTGGATTGATAAATTAGGACTTTGGGATATTCCTGTGAACGAATTCTGTGACTCAAGCACCAATAATGGTTGTGAAGAAACCCAACGGTACGCTTCGCATATGTGCAGACTTTTCAATAGGTTTAAATGATTCGTTGGAGATACATGAGTACTCTCTTCCTGTACCCGAGGATCAGTTCACCAAATTAAACGGCGGAAGAATACTTTCAAGGATTGACTTTTCTGAAGCTTATTTGAAAGTTGAAGTCGACGAGGAATCAAAACATTTATGGACTATGAATACCCATTAAGGCCTGTATAACAGAATACCCTTTGGTGTTAAATGCACAACTGCCATATTTCATCAGATAATGGACACTATGTTGGCTGGATTACCCTTCGCCGCCGCTTATATGGACGACATCATTGTTTGCACCGATGCTCATGAACAGTTCCACCATCTGAGTCAGGTATTAACTCGCATACAACAATTTGAATTTCATATCCACACAGAAAAATGTTCTTTCTTTTCAAACTCTTTCAAGTATCTAGGATTTATTGTTGACGCTACTATCAGGCAGCGAGACCCAGAAAAAGTTAAACCAATTTGTGACATGCCAACACCCACTGACATTCATACACTTCAGTCATTTTTAGGTATGAGCAACTATTACAATCAGTTTGTACCTGATATGCACATATTCCGAGCCCTCTTAAACAATTAACTTTCCCCTTCAACCAAGGGGAATTGGAACAGTGAATGTCAACATGCGTTTGAATCAGTCAAAAAGATTTTGCTATCCCCTTTATTGTTAACACATAACGACCCATCACTTGAAATTATTGTAGCAGCAGATGCTTCGGACTATGGTATAGGAGCAGTCATCCTACATCGGTTAGCGAACGGCTCTCAGAAAGCTGTCTCACATGCCTCCCGATCGTTAACACCTGCCGAACACCATTACAGTCAAATTGAGAAAGAGGCTTTGGCGATTGTTTTTGCGATACACAAGTTACACAAAATGATCCACGGGAAAACGTTTATTCCCCAAACCGTTCACAAGCCGCTTCTGGCCATTTTTAACAACAAAAAGGGTATACCTGTGCGCACCGCTAACCGACTACAAAGGTGGGTAACGATTTTACTGGGGTATAATTTTGAGATTGAACATAAATCATCCTCAGAGATTGGGCATGCTGATGCATTGTCCCGTTTAATAGCTTCACCAAAAAAAATCCAACGACGAACAGGTTATTGTATCAGTTGATGTTAAAACAGAAGTACAACATGTACTCATAAATGCACTCTCCTGCTTGAGAATAACTGCAGACGTAATCAAGCAAGCCACCAACACTGACAAGGCTATCAACGATATTAAGAACTTCATGAAGTATGGATGACCAAAGAGAATTTATGAACCGTCAATTCGAGAGTTTTTCACATGACGCGATTTTCTGTCAATTATAAATGACTGTCTTGTTTTTGGAGAGAGAAAAGTCATACCAACATCACTGGAAACGGATGTACTGAAACAGTTCCATGGGACACATCCGGGGCTAAACAAGATGAAATCCTTCAGGCGCAGTTATGTTTATTGGCCTTTTATGCGCAAAACGACAGTCTGGTCGCACTCTGAGCCGGTGGAGACATCAATATTGTCTGTAGAGACCCTTTTATCTTCCTTAATGCTTTTTGTCATTGTGTGCTCTAAATCCCTTGGTGGTAGCACTACTGCCTCCCCCCCCCCAATTATATCGCTGCCTTACATTTTGAGACATCTTTGCTGAGTTTTCCTTCTTTATCAGTTTGTGGATGTGCGACTTGCACTCTCGGCAGACAAAACTGAGGGTTTTGCGTTCCTGATATGATAGGTAAGCTTGTTTACTAACTGCTCCACATCAAAGATGGAACCACCTTAGGCATGTGTCGCACTGTATTAACTCTGAGACAACGCCCTTCTTACACCATTGGTTGCCGCAATTTGCATTCATGCTAGCCGGTGAAACCGAGTAATATACGTTAAGTTGTGTAGACAAAGAAAATAAAGAAAAATAAATAGCAGAGAGAATCTAAGGAGCTAATATTAATTAATGATAAGTGACGCAGGGTGTAACAGGTCGTACCAGCAAAAGACCGCTAACTGACCGACCTGGGTGAATTCTCGTTACTATGCAAACCTCAAATGGTTAAGTTTCCCACCCTTCCCAGCCTTCAGAATTTTCCGCTGGATATTTTCACCTTTTTCTCCCGCTTTATCAAGATCATGTACCCTCCCGTTTGCTCGATCGTAGTCATTTTTAAGCCGAGAAGCTCCTCGCAAAATTTCGAATACCCGCTCGTCAAGGTTATTCAGGTCAGGTGA